TGGCCAGCCCAGAGCAGAGGAGACTTAGGGACACATCCTCTCTGAGGAACCATCTTAGGGCAGAGAGCAAACAAGCTGGGTGGTCTCTGAGGGGACCCAAGCAATAAGGGAAACCACAACAAGAGCCATCACAGCGTCATCAGGAAGCCACCCCAGAGCAGATGGGGGAGGGTGTCAAGTGAGGGTTTCCTCTCGCTGGCCGTGGACAAGCTCGGGTCAGCTGACACGTGCTGCAGACAGGGAGGAAGGATAGATTCCTGCACCCGAAGGGAGATGAGCTTGCGACTTCTTGAAGTCCCTGCATGGTCAATGACCCAGTTTTTGCTTTCCCTTCTAATAGTCAGCTGTGTGAAGCCAGTGGGGTTTTGCCATCCTGCTTGAGTGAATAACCAGAGCTGTCTGGTGGGCACACCCATCTGGCCACTTCTCTACAGGATGCTGAAATAATGCTAAACATTTGTAAGTGCAATCTGTCTCACTGACCCCTGCCTTGCAAAAGAAAGTTCCAGATGACTCACAGAGTATTCATGACACAGCAGTTGGGACAGAACCCTCTGTCCCACGGGTACTGAACACTCGAAGCTGGCTAAGGGCTGGATGGAGCAATCACATTCATTTGGATCCAGATGTTGGGCCTCTGGCAGTGGTGCAGCAAGAATCTCAAAAGAATCTCCAAACTGAAGGATTCTCTCCTCACCCTCTGCCAATGTTTAAAGAGAAGGTGAGAGAGTAGGTGTGGCTCTACCTGGATAGTGGCCTGCCTTCACATTCAGAAGAGCAGGCCTGTCTCCAAGCAAGAATAGGCATGGTGCCTGGTCCTTGGTTCTCCTCCCTGACTTGACACTTTCCAAAGGAGTATGCTCAGCCAGAGACATAAATCAGCCCTCAACCCCTACACTCTCCAAGCCAGACTCATGAATTGTCACAATGTTGTGCAATTAGAGCCAAAGTGAGAGAGATGGCCCTCAGGAAAGAAGAGCCACAGGAAGTGAATCACCTCTCCTCCCTGAGAGGCAAGCTAGAGCAGTGACCTCAGGTGCTGTATGACCCTGTATCAGTTTCTGCCTGCTCTGAGCTCTAGCATCGTCCTCCCTCTAGGACTGGGGACTGGGGTTTGTGGGGATCAGTACCTATTACATGAGGTTTAAGTGGGTTCATCTGCAGGAAGTGCTTAGAATGGTGCCCAGTTTATAGCTATTATTATCATTATTAGTAACCACAGACAAAAGACAATAATCCTCACCTATATGGTCTCCCAAGATCAGACAAAACAAATGTACAACAAAACCTGTACAAAGAAAGTCTCAGAAGTCGTGTATAAAAGAAGAGACATTTGGGGGTGTAGCACATGAAATCTCACCAACACTAGGATACAGTCAGAGGCCAATATTTCAAACCATACTTAACAAGTACAGGAACTCCCGATATGCCAAACTATATGGCAAAGTTTTCAGAACTTCTGATCAAGGTTGGTAACTGATTGGATTTTCATCACAATACAGCAAAGCCAATTTGTAGTTAATTATTTGTTTTGGGTGGTACTGTGGTTTGAAGTCAAGGTCTTTTTTTTTTTATTATTTTTGCCTGTCCTAGGGCTTGAACTCAGGACATAGGCACTGTCCTCTCTGTGCACAGGCTCTACCACTTGAGCTACAGCACCGCTTCCAGCTTTTTCTGTTTATGTGGTACTGAAGAATCCAACCCAGGGCTTCATGCATGCTAGGTAAGCACTCTACCACTAAGCCATATTCCCAGCCCCTGAAGTCAAGGTCTTAAACCAAGTACTTTGCCACTTGAGCCATACTTTCCAGACCAAATTTTTTCTATTAGGATATTTTTTGAGATAGGGGCTCATATTTTTTTGCCCTGACCAACCTGGACTGCAATTTCCCTTTCTAAGCCTTCCTTACAGCTGGAACCACCGGTGCTTGCCATCAGCCTCTAGCTTTTATGTTGAGATGGCTCTTGTTTTTTTGTCTAGTCTAGCCTCAAATTGCAATTCTCCTTATTTCTGCTTCCTGTGTTTCTGGGGTTACAGGTATGAGCCACCACACCTGATAAACAAAGCCAATTTTTGAAGGAACAGTTTAAAAAGAGAATCCTATTTTAACATTTTAAGAAAAAAATAATAAACAAAAGCAATAAAACAAAAAAGAATAAACCAAGTTCAGGATGCTGATTACTAAAGAGAATGGTGTTAGGTATTAAACCCTAACTTGTGTGAGCTCCAGCAAAATTCCTCTTTCACCAGCCTTAATTTCCCCATTAGCTACATTTGTACCATGTGGCCTTCCAGATCTCCATCTCTGGTTTGGTGGGTGTTCTGTATTTAATTTATTCTGTGTGTGTGTGTGTGTGTGTGTGTGTGTATGCACACGCACGCGTGTGCAGTTCTTGGGGCTTGAACTCAGGGCCTGGGTGCAGTTCCTGAGCTTTTTTGCTTAAGGCTAGTATTCTACCACTTGAGCCACAGCACCATTTCCTGGTTTTTGGTGGTTAATTGGAGATAAGAGTCTCTTGGAGAGGAGGTGAGGCGGGGTGAAAGGCTGGATGCTCATGGTTCACACCTGTGATCTTAGCTACTCTGAGATCTGAAGATCATGGTTCAAGCCAGTCTGGGCAAGAAAGTCCATGAGACTCTTATCTCCAATTGAGCACCAAAAAAGTGAGAAGAGGATCTCTGTCTCAAGTGGTAGAGCATTAGCCTTGAGCAGGACAATGCCCAGGCCTTGAGTTCAAGCCCCAGGACCGACACAAAAAATAAAACAGTAACAAAAAAATAGTCTCATAGACTTTTATCTAAACTGGCTTTGAACCTTCATTCTCAGATCTCAGCTTCTTGAGTAGCTAGGATTATAGGCATGAGCAAATGGTGCCTGGTATGGCTTGGGGGACTTTTTAGATGAACAAATTTGGATAGCACATTTGCATTGTTACATTTTCTGAGTTCATACCACCCTCTACTGTGATGCACAGGAAGTTCCCCATGTGTCGGGCCAGCCAGACAGAGCCTTCTCTTTCTCATTGTCACTTGAAGATCCTACTACTCAAAATAGGGTCCACAACCCAGAAACACAGCATCCCTAAGAGCTAGTGCGACAATTATAATAAAAGGTCCCACTTAGATCTGCTGGACCCAATCTTGCCTTTTAACAAGGTGCCCAGACACCCCCCCAGAGTCCTCACACTCAAAGCTGTTTAAGAAAGACAGGATGAGAAGCTGGTAGAACACATATATTAACTAAAAAGGCACTCAGTCCATACAGAAACCCAGAACTAACCCAAAGAAATCAAAATAATCCTTTCTAAAATGACACAAAAGAAGCTTGTTGTGTGCTCAAGATTTGGGTTTTGTTTTTGAGAATTTTTATGTATTCAAGATAGAATCTTCAGGGGTGGTGTTGGGGGGATGGGAGTTTTGATTCAGGCTTCATGCTTGCTAGGCACGAGCTCTACCACTTGAATCACACTCCAAGCCTTTTTCCTTGATATAGTCAATTTTTTCAGACAGGGTCTCAAGTTTATACCAAGGGCTGGCCTTGGACTGTGATCCTCCTACCTACAGCACCCAAGGAGCTGGGTGACAGATGTGCACCCCCACATCTGGTTTACTGACTGAGAACTGAAGCATAGAGTAGGTAAGAAATGAGTTGTTTGTGAGTAACTGACTCAGAGGAGAATGTGTGAAAAAGCCAGAGACAAGAGATGACTTTTAATCAATCACATTAGCCTTCTTCCTTTCCCCTCTAACTGGTACAGAAATGCAGCTCTGCAGTCTATACTGTCACAGTGACTACATCAAGCTGGATCTCAGAGCTGGCCTGGGACAATCAGACACCCATGACTAAGAGCTGCCACCTCAGCTGCTGCATCAACAAAATCTAACATCGTGTGAATGACAAAATATGATCAATGATTATTCATTGATCTGAAAAAGGACTTCATAGAGAACATCAAACTTTTCCCTGACTCTACCGCATGACAGTAATTTTAAAATGATATAAACAGCAGGGCTCACACCTGTAATCCTAGCTACTAAGGATGCTGAGATCTGAGGATAGCGGTTCAAAGTCAGCCCGGGCAAGAAAGTCCGTGAGACTCTTATCTCCAATAAACTGGAAGTGGCACTGTGGCTCAAGCGGTAGAGTGCTCACCTGAAGCTGAAGAGCGCAGGGACATTGCCCAAGCCCAGAGTTCAAGCCCCATGACCGACAAAAAAAAAGTATATACACATTGTGTGTATGTGTGTGTGTGAGTGTGTGCATGCAGGTGTGCCAGAACTGGGTTTACATTCAGGGCCTGGGCACTGTCCCTTAGCTTTTCCACTAAACAATGACACTCTACCACTTGAGGCATAGCTCCACTTTTGGCTTTTCGCTGGCTAAGTGGAGGTAAGAGTCTCATGGACTTTCTTGCCTAGGCTAGCTTCAATCTCAATCCTCAGATCTCAGCCTTCTCAGTACTAGTGCCTCGCAAAACATTCTTTAAATAATTACTAAAAGCAACCAACAACCCTCCACTAGGCATTGCTACTAGTCTACTCTCCAGTTCATGTTATCTGGGTAAATCATATTGTTTCCTTGATATTTCAACTTCGGATAGTTTCCTTCAGCCAACAAGAACATTATAGCATTCTAACTGTAATAGCAATGCACAAGAAAAAAATCCTTTAATAATAAACATGATCTATCTCGATGGCCTACAAAAATGATCACAATGTTGCTAGTGTCCATCTCTCCACATTGAGAAAATGCCAGCCTATCCCAAACCAAGGGTTGATCAAGTTGTGTAATCACAAATATCTTTATACCTGGGAATCCACCAATGTAAAATACTTAGCGCTTTTTTTTGCTAGTGATAATAAAAGGCACATCAGTAGAATCTGTCTTCTGATAGAAAAATAATATAAGGCTTTAATTTTCCCAGTACCAAGAGTTAACATCTAATGGTTACTCCTGGAAAATGGGGTTTGAGCCAAACATTTTAAAAAGTTTTCAAAATCAGTACAAAGCTTATTCACATTTTACTAAATCCAACAACATCCTCACAAATGGAAAAATGATTTCCTTGGAAAAGGACAGCAGTCTGTGTGTGGTAGGCTCTGGCCCCAGCATGGCTAAGTATTGGCTGGTCACAGGGTCCGGGCCTTCGATGGGCATCTTCCTTGGCACAGGGCTGCTCTATGACATGTTTTCCTTGAAGAACCACTTCTGATGATCAGAGTTGGTGCATTCTCGTAAGAGTGGCACAAAACTGTTGCTGGAATCCTTATTCACAGCCTGGACACATTTCTTGGACTGTTCATGAACTAAGGAACCATCCTACAAATGATAACAGACAATGGATGTTCAAGACAATTACACATGGCTCCTCAGGAAAAAATCTCTTTTCAAATAGGTTCTGAAGAGCTTACGTTGTGGTTTTTATCATTTAAAAAAATCTGTTGCTAGCTAAGTATTTTCCATGCAAAATGTCAACTCAAGACAGTCACTGTGCGTGCGTGCGTGTGTGTGTGTGTGTGTGTGTGTGTGTGTGTTTGCGCGCACGCACACACACACGCACATGCACCAGGAGAACCAGGCATGTACAGCCCACTAGTGTGGGGCTAAGGGTGCCACCTGCTGGCTCCTCTGGGCACCTGTCAGAACTTCTAGCTCATTCCTACAGTATTACTGAAGAAATCAGAGCAAAGAACCTTTCTTTAACTTCTCTGAGGTCAACCAATCTCTTATGTATTTAAAGAAAGCCACGAAACTTGGCCAAAGTCCCAATTCAGCCACAAGCTGGTTGGGTGAGAGAGGGCAAGTCTGGCCACTGGCCTGACCTGGATACTGGGATGGGTAAGGAGCAGAGGGCTGGCTCTATGATGGCCAGTTCCCACACAGAGGATGATGGCCTTCTGTAACGGCTTCCTCTGCTGTTGTAGCTCCTCACTCTGGCGAAGCTAGCTTGATAAGCTTCTCCCCAGCCCTGGTATTTCCCTTGTCTCTCCATGACTAACTTAATCAAGAATCTGCAGCAAAAAAAGCAGAAGGAATAGGCTTGCCTGTTCCAAGGGAAGAGAAGCCTCCAAAACCAAAGTAGATACAAAACAATTTAATATCAGGAATCTGAAAAAAAGCCTTCCCAGCACTCCTAAAAGGCCATCAGAGAACTTAAAAATAGATAAAGTAACCATTTGCCCATCCTTCTAAACAAATACACTTCTCCTTAAAAGGTCACTGAAATTCATGGAAAAAGTATTAATCTGGTTTGATCAAACCAACTTTATTGCTTCTAGCTTATATTACTTCTCCTCGAGAGCACACCACAGGGAGAAAGAGCTGAAGAAAGAGAACCACAAATTTGTAAGGTATATGTAGTCTTTTTCCTTCTAATTTTCTTATACCAAATAGCCCTACGGTGGTGGGCTCTTCTGGGCAGGCAGCAAATTCCATTGCTAATTAGAAAATTTTCTTACAAGAAACATATTCCAACTCCGATGTACTTAGGACTCACCCATTTAACAGAAGATTTTAATGTTTTGTCAAATTATGTTCTTTGGATTTATTTCTTCAAGTACTTTTTAAAGTTCTGTCACAGGCTTGCTAGAAACCTAGTAACAACAGTGGCCTTCCAGGTCTACTCCAAATCCAGGTACTTGGAAAGCCAGCTCTGCCCCAGAGATATATTCCTGGCTATAACACCATATATAAGTAACAGCAAGTCTCTGAGGAGGCTGGCAACTTCCAAAGACAAATATGCTTCTGATCAAGTTTCAAAGATCACTTCATATCACATTCTCACTAGAGTGAGAAAAGCTGCTATAATCATGTCTATTTTAGATCTAGGTGGAATGAAGCTCAGAGAAGCGCAGTGACTTCATAACCTGCTTTTGAACTTGTATCCTGACCCCTTGGCTGTTTGTGTCACTTCATTCCAACCCCATTTCATCTGCACCCATGTGTAAGGGTTCTGCAGCTCATGGTCAAAAGCATTAATGTCACCTGGTGTAGAATACCTTGACACTATGCACCCCATGCCTGCAATCCACTGGAACACACTTCACACTCCTCAACAGCCCAGGCTAATGGCTGTTAGGTTGGCACTTACTGACCTCAAGGATAAACTTCTGGTTCTCGGGGACAGTCTCTTTACAGAGCTGCATGATGAGGACATCGGTTCCTACTTCCACAGCGATGCACCCCTCTGGCTGGCGAGTGTTATAGCGTATCTCTTTCTGGGAAGTATACTCGAAAAACTAAAATCAGGGTGGAAAATACATGTCAGTTATTCCCTGATGTGGTATACCTAGAACTTACCTACAGCACTTGGGCAAATTCTGGTTTCTGCCCCTAACCACTTCCACAGAGGGTGTCAGGGTTTCTTCTATCTGAGATGATGAAGCCTAGGAAGCTGGAATTTGGGGATTTGTTGAGGGAAGGGCTGGTACTGGGGACTTGAACTTTGGGCCTAGGAGCTATCTCTTAGCTCTTTTGTACAAACCTGGCACTTTTATGAGTTAAGCTATGTCGCTCAACTTCTGGCTTCTTGATAGTAAATTGGAGATAAGAGCTTCACAAACTTTCCTGCCAGGACTGGAGTCTGATCTTGATCCTCAGCTCTCAACCTCCTCAGTAAGCTAGGATACAGGCATGAGCCACTGGCACCTGGCAATTTTTTGTATGTTTTGACAAGGCACCTGTCCGCCCTCCTCCAACACAGGTCCCTATAGAGTACTATCAGGGTAGGTAAGGCTAAGAAGACCAGCTTGAAGGAACACTGCTGTAAAAAGGGCCAACAAGCCTGACTGACTTAAGGTGTTTGCAGAGGTCTAAATTATGGAAGCTTATTGAAGACCATGAGATGGCTATGGTGAACTTGGGCTGGGCACTGAGTAGAAGAAAACTCTCCAGCCCTGTCTGCAGGTGTCTTGACACTCCTCAGCAGAAAAGCTTTTACACTTCCACAACCACCTTTTCCCTTCCCTGACTCTTCCAAGAGCCTCACCCTGGTAGGTCTACCTGCTTTCCTGGCCCAGGCTGCTGTCCTGGTTCCCAAACAACCCTAGCTGAGCCTGCCCTACCCTACTCTGCCCAGCTTGACTTGTACCACTCCATCTAGAAAGTTCCACCTGGAGCCCACCTCAGGCAACTTCCATCAACACTGTTCTGCAGTGTGGTGCTAGGTATCAAAGCCTGGAATTTCATTTCAGAACCGATTCCAAGGGAATCATGGAAAAATGCAGAGCTGCTGTTGCTTTTCTTCCTTCTTTCTGACCAAAGATGTTAGTGTCAGAGTTATTTTCAATGGCAAAAATAGGGAGGCAAACAACCAGTTAATTCAACAGAAATATAGACACACAAAATAGCAATAGTATGTACGTGTTATGTGCAGGCTCTGGGTGGATCCCCAGCACTTAAGAAAAAATAAGAAACTATCAGGAGTGATATTCTCAAAAGTCATGGACCAATATAAGTATGATCAAGTTAATGGCATTATAAAGCATACAGATATCAAAAGTTTAACCTAAAACCTGGGTAGAAATACATCTTCATTTTAATAGTGGTCTCTCTGGCTTCTTTATTTTATATTTCCCCCATGTTCTATGATGAGTGCATATTACTTCTAAAGCAAAAAAAAACTAATTAAAAATATTTTTCAGTGCTGGGGACTGAATCTGGAGTCTCCCATCTGGAAGGCAAGTGTTCTGCCACTGAGCTAGCCATCAAGCTCAGAAAAAAGTCAAGTATTAATTAAAAAAAAAAAAAAGCACAAACCCAGAGCTTTGCCCTCCTCTCTCCCTTCCAAGGTCCACACACCTACCTGGTTCTGGCCTGTCCCATGACAAGGGTACAGAATAACCTGGTACCCTTCAATCTGGTTTTCATCAGGAGGGTTGTAGTCTAAGCAGTGTCGTTTTAGTCCTTTGTTCTGGAGCTAAACAAAACACAAAGGTGAAATTCCCATCTAGATTTCTACTGGATTAATAGATTCCCACCCCAAGGCTCCGTGAGAAGGGAGGGAGGGAACAGCAGAGAGCAGAATGGGGCTGGGGCAGGGGACCCTCCTTCTTGCCCAGCACATTGCCTAGTCTCCCCATGTTCTCCTATTCTGCACAATGCAGGAATCTTTACTCCACCAGCAGATGCTGAACCTGGGCATCTGAGACCTGACCATTTTCAAGACAAAAAAAAAAAAAAAACCTCACATCTCACTAGGTGCAGATGGCTTAAGTCTGTAATACTAGCTACTTAGGAGGCTGACATCTGAGGATTGAGATTCTTGTCCCCCAGCTGGGGCAAGACAGTCTGGGATATTCTTATCTCCAATAAACTACCAAAAAAGCTGGAAGTAGATCTGTGGCTCAGGGGTAGAGTTCCACCCTTGAGTGAAAAAGCTAAGGGAAAGAGCCAAGGTTCTTTCAAGCCCCAGTACCTGCAAAGAAAGGGAAAAACAGAGTGGGGGAGAGGGGAACAGAGAGAGAGGGAGGGGGGAGGGAGGGAGAGAGAGGGGGAGGGAGAGAGAGGGAGAGAGGAAAAGAGAGAGGGAGGGAGGGAGAGCAGGGAGGGGAGAAGCTTGTATCTCTAGTTGTCAGCAGCAGCCTTAGTGCTGCACTGGTCCAAGTACGTTGAGGTTATGGCCTTGAACCAAGAATAAAGACTAATTAAACCAAGCTGGTGACTTATCGATACAAAGAAAAAAGATTTTTAAAATGACTTCAGAAGAAATAACTGTATTGCAAAGTTCAAAGAATTCATAAATGTTATAGGCCATAATAGACAATTTGCCCCATGAAAGTTAGAATGTGTTTGTGACTTTAACTACGCATCATTATCCCACAATACTGTGAAATTTGGGAAATTATGTAATCACTTAATCACAATAAAGAATTTGAAAAAAAATGACTTCAGAGCAAAGAATGCTTGCTAGTAAAATATATTTAACAATCAGAGCAAAGAAATCTTAATTCTCATTCAGTGTACAGTGTATTGTAATACTATACTGGAGTTTGAACCCAGAGCTTTGAGTATGCAGGACAAGCACTCTACCCCTAGCCTCCTCACCCCTTTTTTTTTCTTTTTGCCAGTCCCGGGGCTTGAACTCTGGGCTTGGGTGCTATCCCTGTGCTCTTCAACTCCAGGCAAGTGCTCTAAGGCTTAAGCAACAGCGCCTCTTCTGGTTTTCTGGTGATTTATTGGAGATCAGAGTCTCACGGAGTTTCCTGCCTGGGCTGGCTTTGAACAGTGATCCTCAGATCTCAGCCCCTTGAGTAGCTAGGATTACAGTCTATGATACCATACCTGGATTAGACTGTTGTCTTGAAACTATTTTAAATACATTTTAGAATAAAGCAGTAGTTGTGATTGTATTATTAGAAACCAACCAGGTGTCAGTGGTTCACATCTGTAATTCTAGCTACTCAGGAGGCTGAGATTCCAGGCTAGCCCAGGCAAATAGTTTGTAAGACCCCATCTCAGGCCAGGTGCTGATGGCTGATGCCTGTAATCCTAGCTACTCAGGAGGCTGAGATCTGAGGATGGAAGACAACCTGAGTAGGAAAATCCATGACATTCTTATCTCCAAATAACCAGCACAAAGCCAGAAGTGGAGCTGTGGCTCAAGTAGTAGAGTGCCAATCTTGAGTGAAAGCTCAGGGACAGGGCCCAGGACCCATCACAATCAATATCTAGATGAAATAGTGTGTGTCTGTCATTCCAACTGTAGCAAAAAGCATAAAACAGGAAAGTGTGGTCCAGACACAAGTCTGAGCAAAAAGGCACGTTCCTATCTCAAAATAATCAGTAAACAAACAAGCTGGTGGTATAGCTCAGCTGTACACCACTTGTCTAACAAGCATGAGGGCCCTGAGTTCAAACCTCAGTATCATTTTAAAAAAGGAAAAAAAATAGGAAATAAGGTGCCACAGTCCAACACCACACATGGTTTTTGCTTGGATCTCCACTGGAATCTGACTACCACTTAAAGAGAAAATTTGAAAATTCATGGGCATATTAATTGGAACCAGATAGAAAGAAATTGGTGTTTATTTGATTGCATATGATAACAGTCTGCACATTTGTACATAATATGTAAAATTTACAAAGATGTGTAATGAAGTGCATAGGGGTAAAATTATAAAGAGGAAACAGCATGGAGGAATGGGGAAGAAGTAAGGCAAGAAAACCCCAATCTTGACTATTCTAGAAGTACAGAGATGGAACTCAAACCACTCTCTCTGCATCTCTTATGTTTGAACATTCTGTTGTATTTACTGGAGACTTCCAGAATGGAACTGCAGCGCTTCTGAGCAAAACAGCAGAGAGGAGGCCCCTCTAAGACTGTGTGATTTACAGCAACACCCAAATACACTAGGCGTGCTTAGCTGAGCTCATTAGAGAAACATTTGTTTTTTTGGATGTGACTCTCCTACCCCCACCCCTGCCTTTGTGCACTCCAAAGCTGGGGATTCCTAACTGCTCATAAGGTGGCAGCAAAAACTAATATGTGGGATCATGGAGGAAGCCTCAGCCTCCTCCTCATCTAGAACATGAGAGGCTCACATTTACACTGGAATTGTCCAGACAACTTCCAGATCTGACATTTTGGATCCTAAGCCCAGATACTCATGGAGAGCAGAAGCACAGGGGATGACAAAGTGAAAGGACATGGGAATGGGGGAGGCCACAGTCCCCAAGAAGGAGTTTTTCTTTCCCAGCACCCATCACTCAGATGTGAGAATGTCAAGCCACCACGGCTGCACAGCTCACCATCCCGAAGAAGCCAGGCCTGTCCTCAGGCACGCGCAGCTCTGGGTACACGGTGTCCAGGAACCACTTGAAGTCTTTACACTGGAGCTTGGCTCGGAGCTGCCTCCTCTCCGACACATCCCCAAAGGGCTCCTGAGAATCCACAGCACAGTGAGTCCCTGCAGGTTCCAGGGCTTCCTAGCAAAGCCGGACTTCACTGATGCTCACTCACTACCAAACAGCACCCTGATTTTCCTGAGCATCTACAGTGTGCTGGGCCACGGGGGTCCAGGGTCTGTATGGTGGGGTCTGTGGGGAGCAAAGCGACAGAGCTGAAATCTTAGCACCCACAGAGACACCTCTGCCATGCAGCAGAGAAGAGGTGGACTGGCACACTGTCAGGATGCCCCGTGCCCCATCTTCTATAGCATCATACATGTCAAGGAAAGGTGTCAGTGTGGCCCAGCCATGCTCTAGGTCTCTGTCTGGGAATGGAATGGGGAGAAGAAGCCACTGGAGCTCTTGGACAGTTCATCAGAAATAGGAAGATGACTCTGAGGGGAGACCAAAGACTTTCAATGAAAAGACAAGGACACTGAGCCATAACTTTCACCTACAGAACTGGTCCTTAGCTCCCACCCACAGCTTGTGGATGCAGTCATGCTGGTTACAAAGAGGAATGTCACAATATGTATAACCCTACCTGGCACGCAACCTGACAGAAGCCAGACTGGCTATGATGTAATAGTCGAGCCCCCATCTTTACTGGTGCTATCTATACAAATTCATCTACCTGCTAAAACTTATTTATAACCCCCAAATAAATACCCATTGACATTCACAGGAAAAAAAACAAAAAACAAAATTTGTTCCATGTTCACGATCCTAAGCAGGATAAAAGACAACAGTCTGCCTCTTGTTTCAGCACACTGTAAATACAGGTCATTTTCATCGTCTACTGGGGGCCATGCATTTCACCCTTTTTGGAGTAAGCATCTCACAGATTTTCCTGCCTGGATTGGCTTTGAAACTTGATCCTCAGATCTCAGTCTCCTGAGTAGCTAGGAATACAGCTGGGACTTTACTTTTAAAACCACTCCCCAGCCATAATGCTGAAGTGTTGTCTTGTATTTATTCCTAAGGACAAGAAGATTGTGATATGCTTTATAGAGAAAACACAGGTGTTAGGTGGGCACAGTAGGCATGAGTTACTGTGCTCTTGATCATGGTTCAATGGGAAGGAGTCAGTGATGTATATTAAATAATACACAACTCTTTAAACATTGTGTGTGTGTGTGTGTTTGATGATTCTGGGGTGTGTGTGTGTGTGTGTGTGTGTGTGTGTGTTTGATGATTCTGGGGCTTAAACTAAGAACCTGGGCACTGTCCCTGAGCTTTTATGCTCAAGGCTAGCACTCTACCATTTGAGCCATGGCTCCACTTCTGGCTTTTTGCTGGTTAATTGGAGATACGAGTCTCACAGACTTTCCTGAGCCTCCTAAGTAGCTAGGATTACAGGCGTGAGCCACCAGTGCCCAGCTTTAAACATCTTTAAACATGCATAAAACTGTATTTATTGGTTGACAAAACCATCATGAGTAAGTCCAGCAGAAACCTAACCCTGCCCTTCCCCTTGGAGTAATGGCACGAACTCCATGTTGGCTACTGGAAGTAGTATGAATTGACTGTATGTGATTATTGCAAATGCAGGAATGAAGTTTTCTCATGCTCATATCCTAAGACCTAGTGTGTCCCCCTATTTCAGAAAGTGAATCAACTATGTTGGGGAGACCAGAATCGGCTGCAACGTTGATGAGGCCACAGGGTATGTGATGGCTGGAACTCACCATGCGAGCATGGGGGTTTCGATGGTAGTAGATCTCCTTATATTCATCCATCCACACTTCAGCTGCACGGACGCTGTTGGCCAGAGCCTTGCTGCGGGAGTAGGGGGCTTGTTTGGGGAAAACGTGGCCAACGTGGGAGCAGGGGTGTATTTCCAGGGTCCCACCACACTGCCAGATCTGTGCACAGAGTGGAAGAGAAGTCTGTCCACAGAAGTCACATTCAGTCTCCGTGGGAACAAAGGCGACTTTCCCAGCATGCTCTCATGACACAGGAGACAAGCAAAGTACAAGAAAGCAGCACCAAAGACAAACAAAAGCCATCAGAGCCAAGACCCCGAAGTCCATTACCAGTGCTCTAACACTCATGCACTTGATTTGTGGAGGTCCACAGACATCTTGCTGGCAACCCAGTTACTCCGCACATAAAAGGAGGCTTGATTACCTGATCGCCTAGCCACAGAAGATAGGAAAGCAGCAAGGAAGGGGAGAGTTGGAAGGGACAAAGGAAGAGCTTCTAGAAGCAGGTAGAGCAGCCTGACACCTGAGAAAGAGGTAGAAAGACCATTAGAGGGACAACCAAAAGTCAATGACATAGTCGCCGAAGGGACACGAACACCTCATTTTTGCAAGGACAACACAAATCAATGTCACATTTGGAGGATTTTGTTGTTGTTGTTTTGTTTAGGGGACTTAAACTTAGGTCCATGATGCTCTTGCTTGGACTTTTTGCTCATGGCTGATGCTCTACCACTAAACTACATCTGGATTCTTTGTTTTTTTTTATTGGACAACTGGAGATAAGAGTCCCATAGATTTGTCTGCCCGAGGGCTGATTTCAAACTGCACTTCTCAGATCTCAGCCTCCAGTGGTACCCCAGCTGTATTTGCTGTTTATAATTCACAGTTTTGAGTTCTCTATGAAGATCTCATCAAAAAATAAAATATTATTAAAGACCAAAGAGTTTTATTTTTGTGGCAGTGGTTGTAGGGATGGAGCTCAGGGCCTGCACTTGGTAGGCAAGTGGTCCACAACCTGAGTCAAATCCCTGGCCCTCTTGCTTCTAGATTATTTTTCAAATCATGGCTTCAAAGGGGCTAGCCTTGAACCATCCTCCTATTACCTCTGCCTCTGGATTATCTGGGATTATGATTGTACACCACCACATCAAGCCCAAGATCTAAGTGACATAAAAATGTAAAATTCCTGGGACTCTGGACTCTTTAACACATTTTCTAACAGTTCTCATATGTGTCCAAGTTTGGAAAGCACTGTGCTAAGGAAGAGGTCACTTCAAGACACTCTAGTAAAGACTCCAGCAGACAAGAAGAGGAGGGAACTACATAGGGGCCTGTGCTGCTAACTGTGTGACCTTGACCAAGTCAGAATCCTTTCCCCAGTCTTGCTTCCTTCTGTTGACCTGGAGAGGAAAAGTATACAACATGCAGGACCCTTTACACCCCATGGCTTCAAAAGCATGTTTTGTAAACAGATAAAAGAAAATTAGCAAGCTTTTATAAGAGATGTGTCACACATCACTATCATAGGCAGGCTCTCTGGGCGAACTGACCATGTAGAAAAAGTCTACCAGTGGATCTTATAGTGGATCTTACAGTGGATCCTGTCATTCAGAAAGAGACAGAGACAGAGAGAACAGATTAATAAGGAATCCAAAGAAATGACTGGAATACTTACCCTAAAGGAGAATTCAAGGTTCTCTCCTCCCCAAACTTCCATTCCTGTATCGTAAGACCCCAGATATTCAAAATAGTTCTTATTCACAGCAAACAGTCCCCCAGCCATTGTTGGAGACCTAGAAGAGCATAGATCTGTAATTCAGTATAAGCAACAGGAAACCATCATAGGTATCTGGCTAAGCCATTTTCCCACCTCTAACCCTCTGGTCCATTCATCCATCTCTCTCTCTCTACCAGTTTTGCCCTGCCCTGCACTGAGATGGACCCAGAGGCACAGATGTACCCACAGGCCCTTCCCTGGGAGGCTCATAGACAGACACCATACCAGATAAATCCTATCATGGCCCATGCCTTCATGGGCACTCAGAAGACTGCAAAGGGCAGGGAGGGAGAGGCTAGGGTTCCTGGAGGAAATGAGTTCTGTAGGAAGAAGAGGAGCTGGCCAATTGGAGAAGGGAATAGCACTCCAAAATGGATAAGGGCTCAAGGGTAGGAGAAACCCATGTACTTTCATTTGTTCACTTTGTTTTGTTGTGTTGTCAGTCATGGAGCTTGAACTCAGGTCCTGGGTGGTGTTCCTGAACTCTTTTTTGCTCAAGGCTAGCATTCTACCTCTTTGAGCCATGGCTCCACTTCTGTTTTTTTTGTGGTTAACTGGATATGAGTCTCACAGACTTTCTTGCTCCTGTTGGCTTCAAACTGCTATCTTCAGATCTCAGCCTCCTGAGTAGCTAGGATTATAGGTGTAAGCTACCATCGCCCATCTGTTTACTCATTTTTGTTATGTGGATCTGAAACTCAAAACCAGAGCCTCACACATGCTCAGCAAGTACTATATCACTGAGATGCTTTGAGATAACAGGAAACAGGAATAGGAAACAGGTATATATGCCTAGCATCTGTGAAGCACTGGTTCAATCCCAGCTCCACAGAAAAAGAAACAAGAAAAGTCAAACCCCTATTTAAAAATTAAATAAATTAGTCAGGCAGGTGTAATCCTAGATACTCAGGAGGGTGAGATATTAGGATCATGGTTCAAAGCTGGCCTGGGCAGGAAAGTTCATGAGATTCTTATCTCTTATCTCCAATTAAGTACAAAAAAAAAGCCTAAATACAGGGACAGTGTTCAGGCCCTGAGTTCAAAAGCCCTAGCACCAGCGCACACACACACACACACACACACACACCAACCACAACAGAGCTATAGCCCTGCAAATGTGGCTTAGTAGTAGAGTGCCTGCCTAGCATACATGAAGCCCTGGGTTCGATTCCTCAGTACCACATAAACAGAAATAGTGCTATGGCTCACATGGTAGAGTGCTAGCCTTAGGCAACAGAAGTTCAGAAACAGTGCCAGACCCTGAGTTCAAGCCCCAGAACTGACCAAAAACAAAAAAGTAGTAGTAGTAGTAGTAGTAGAGCTATGGCTCAAAGTAGTAAAGTTCTAGCCTTGAGCACAAAATCTTAAACTCAAAGACAGCGTCCAGGTCCTGAATTCAAAAACTCCAGGATTGGCATGAAAAAAGTTAAAATTAAAAAAATATATTTAAAATATAGTGATATAAAATCTACTTTCATAGCAAAAGTATTTGGTAAAAATAAGCATATACCCTGGGAGGTGTCTGTGGGGAAAGTCGGAGGGCGGGAGGGAAGGGAGAAGATGACCACTGACTATCCCTCTGAAGCCTCACTTCTGTCATCAGATGTGATAAGGATCAAAGACATGAGTCCCTGGAAGCAGCCTGACCTGATGACGTCGATGGGGGAACGCATCTGTATGCGCTCCCGATCAGGAACCACGTGCCACGTGAACACCAGCCGCCAGTCGAAGCCACCAATCTGGGGCTCCCCAGAGTTGCCCAAGTACTCGAAGGTATTCCAGTCAATCACATCGATCACAGGGCACACCACCGCCGACTCCTTCTCGTAGATCCTGCCAACACCCAACACAGACCGTCTTTCCTCCTGGACGGCTGGCAGGACAGCCAGGAGATGAGAAGATTCCATGCCTGTGTCAGAGAGCTGCTGCCCTTATCCAGGGGTCTGCAGCCACGTCAGGCTCCGGCAGGGGCCTCCTTGGGGAACACTGGGGAAGTCCCGTGGCTTCCATCTTCTCTCTCTACAGACATTCTGGCTAAATTTGAATCTTTCTGGAGGAATCAAAAGTAACTTCGAAAACAAGCCAACTTTCAATTTCTCAGGTTTCATCACAGTTACCATCCTAAGGTCAAGAAAAGGTTATCTCACACCAGGTGCGGGTGGCTCATGCCTGTAATCCTAGCTACTTGGAAAGCTGAGAGCTGAGGATTGTGGTTCAAAGCCAGACTGGGCAGACAAATTTGAGAGATTCTTATCTCCCATTAACCACTAAAAAGTCAGAAGTGGAGTTCTGTCTGAAGTGGTTAGAGTAGTGGCAGCTATGAGTGAAAAAGGCAAGTGAGAGCAAAAGCCCTTGATTTCAAGACCCAATATGAGTACAAAAAAAGAAAAAAAAAAGAGAAGGAAAGAAAAAAGAAAAGAAATGGTTATTTAAATACCCCAATCAAAAGGTCAGCTTTGCAGTTAGAAATTCTAATCCTTAAACAACTTGTTTTTCCCCATCTCCTCCACAGATTATACCGACATCAAATATAGTGAAAGCAGGGGTTATACTGTGGGGGAGGGACATACAAAGCTACAAAGAGATAACCTTATAAATGAGTTAGAAACAAATGCATGAAAGAAAAAAACACTTAAATACATATCTAAGGGTTCATTTTCCTAACATCACATTATCTGACCTTTCCTGTGGACCCGATGCAACTATGAGAAGTACAAGTTGTCATGTCAAAAACGAACTCTACAACTTTGGTGGGGGGGGGGGGTTGGGGGGGGGGGGGGCCAGGGAGAGGCTGGGAAGGGATGTGAAGGGTAAACAAAGGAGGAGGCTGCAATGCTTGATAAGAAATGTACTCATTATCTTGCCCATGTAATTGTAACCCCTCTGTACAGTATGTTTACAAAAAATTAAAATTAAAAAAAAAAGAAATTCTAATCCTGTCCTAATTCCTGCCCTTAGTCCATCCCCGCCCCCTCCCCCACCAAGGCCTCAAAGCCTCTGACATCCTGGTCACACTGGATTAACAGCTACACAGGGTTAATGTAAGGATTCCTGAGGGAATGTTGGCAAGGTGACCTGACCCTGGGTCTGCCCCGTAAGGGAAGACCAGACAAAAACCTTTGCACCATCCTCTCCCTCCAGGAGGGTTACTGGTTTGCCAGCCTGGTCCTGCCTTCCCCATGCACAATCAGGAGCCTGTGGAAAAACTGAGACACTGGAGGAAGTGGTGGAAGGCAACAAATAGAAGAGAATCAGGCCCCATGGTGAAGGGAATGGGGTGTAAGGACAGAGCCACATGATGGCTTTCATGGAACCTTCCTCCAGTTAAAAAAATAATGTATTTGGGGCTGGGAAGATGGCTCAGTGGTAGAGTGCTTGCCTTGCATACATGAGGCCCTGGCTTTGATTCCTCAGCACCACATAAGCAAAAACAAAAAAGCCGGAAGTGGCACTGTGGCTCAAGTGATAGAGCGCTAGCCTTGAGCTGAAGAGCTAAGGGACAGCGCCCAGGCCCAGAGTTCAGGTCCCATGACTGGACCCAAAAAAACCCCAAATAACGTATTTGTTATTACTAATATATAAATACATATAAAATCAAGGCTAGATTCATTATTATATACCAGCTGGGTGCTGGTGGCTTATATCTGTAATCTTAGCTACTCAGGAGGCTGAGACAGGGAAAATTATGTTATGAGATCAGCCTGGGGAAAAAAGTTCCTGAGACCCTATCTCAACAGAACAAGGCTGTTTTGTTGACTCTGTCTGTAATAGACCTAATGGACAGTGTCAATAAAGAGGTTTGGGATCCAGGTGTACCTGGGGACAAAACAAAAACAAAAGCAAGACCCTATCTCAAAAATAACCAGAAAGGGCTGGGAAGGTGGCTCAGTGGTAGAGCGCTTGCCTTGCATGCCTGAGGCCCTGGGTTCAATTCCTCAGCACCACATAAGCAAAAAGAAAAAAGGGAAGTGCTGCTGTGGCTCAAGTGATAGAGCGCTAGCCTTGAGCTGAAGAGCTGAGGGACAGCGCCCAGGACCAGAGTTCAGGCCCCACGACCGGACCCCAAAAAATAATAATAATAATAATTAATAATGAAAAACAACAGAGAAGCCAGGCACTAGTGGCTCATGTCTATAATTCTAGACTCAAGAGGCTGAAATCTGAGAACCATGGTTCAAAGCCAACCCAAGCAGGAAAGTCTGTGAGACTCATCTCCATTAATCCCCCAAAACAACAACAACAAAAAAAAATCGCTGTGGCTCAAGCAAAAAAGCTCAGAGATAGCACCTAAACTCTGAGTTCAAGCCCAACACACACACACACACACACACACACACACACACACACACACACACACACACACCACAAAGCACAAAGGGCTAGAGGCATAAATCAATTTGTGCATGCACAAAGTCCTGAATTCAAACCCCAGTATAGGCAAAACAAAACAAAACCATTATGATGTCCACTTTTCTCCTTTTGACCTTAAAAACATTTTTGTGGAAGCTTCAGGTAGCTCAGTGGTAGAGTACTTGCCTAGCATGCTCGAAATCCTGGTTTGATCCCTAGTACCACAAATAAGTAGGAAAACACTCAACAAGTAGGAAAACATATTGTGGGTTCCTTCAAATTTCAAGAGTCCAAGGCATTGTGTACACTGGCTGTAATGGTAAACTGACCCCTGCTTGAAAGAAATACATAGAAACAGCTCATCTGTAGGAGCATGATTCTATATGATGGCAACTTTTTTGTGTATATGTGTGTTAATAGCCTAAACTCATGTCCTCATATTCTCCCTTAGCTTTTTCACTCAAGGCTAGTACCCTACCACTTGACCACAGCTCTATTTCCAGCTTTTTGGAAATAAGGGTCTGTCCAACTGGCTTTGAACTGTCGTCCTCAGATCTGAGCCTCCTCCGTAACTAAGATTACAAGCGTGAGCCACAGGCTCCTGGCGATGGCAACTTTTTACATATTTATCCAGGAAATGGAAAAGGAAACAAGAGGATTTTTTCTTTGTTGTTGTTTTTGCTTTCTCTTCTTTTGGTCTTGTTTGTTCATTTATCTCTTTAGGAGGGCAAAGGGGGGTGGGCACAGAAATGGAAGGACAAAGGGTGAACAAATGCAGCAGTGGTACTCACTAGACACTATGTTGAAAATGAACTATACAACTTGTGGGTGGGGAACAGGAGGGGAAAACAAGGAGAGAGCAAGGGAAGGGGTGATTTGGTCCAAAAAGAAATGTCCCCATTACTTGACTTATGCTAACTATAACCTCTCTGTACATAATCTTTATAATAACAATAAAAATTTTAAAATAAGAATCCAGTGATTAATGATGTTCCTCGGGTCCTCTACAATGACTAGACAGGAAGGAGCAGTAAGAGCAACAGAGCCTCCTACAGGTTGCAGTGCTCTGAGCACTTTCACAGGAGTTAACAGGACTTGAGGATATCTGACTCAATGAGCCACAGTCCCTGTGTCCACCCAAGGGGACTTCCCTCCTCATGTGGGTGGCTCACGCACCTCTGCAGCAGCGGCTCCAGCCACCCCTCGTGGCACTCACAGTGACAGTCCAGGAAGGTCAGCACCTCGCCCCGGGCCATGGAGGCCCCCAGCAGCCGGGCTCGCACCAGGCCCTCCCTCTTGTTGGCACGGATCAGGCGCACCTTGGGCAGGGCCGACAGCTCTTCAGCCAAGCGCTCCTTCAGGTGTTCTGGGAAAATAAACAGAGAGCAGAGGGGATCAGAGCCTCCCGCTGAACTCCCTCACTTCACCCAGAACCAAGGTTGGAAGGTCACTGATAGCTGGAGGAGCCTGTTACTGTGGAGAATTCTAGAACCCTCATCTGTTCCCCAACCAACATCTGCACACTGAATCATGCACCTTAAAGGGTGAATGGCATAGTGCCTGAATATATCTGAATTAAGCGGCTACCAAAATGTTGCTTTGGGAAGGTGGCTCAGTGGTAGAGCGCTTGCCTTGCGTGCATGAGGTCCTGGGTTCGATTCCTCAGCACCACATAAGCAAAAAAGCCAGAAGGGGCGCTGTGGCTCAAATGGTAGAGCACTAGCCTTGAGCTGAAGAACTGAGGGATAGCGCCCAAGCCCAGAGTTCAGGCCCCACGATGGCAAAAAACAAAACAAAAAAACAAAATGTTGCTTTATAGCCTGACTTGGGAACATTAAAACATCAACAACCATGAACTATCCAATCACAATACTACATATAAAGACAGCATGCATCCCCTCAGGGGGTATTATTGTGATTGCTGCAATTAAAGCTCCATCCTTAGGGTAGTGCTGCTGAGGAGCTTTGGAAGGTGGGGGCCTAATGGGAGATGCTTAGGTCACTGTGGAGTGTCTTCAGAGGAGATTGTGGGATCTTGGTCTCTGCTCCTGGTTCCAGACATAATTACACATACACATACACATACACACACACACACACACACACACACACACGAACGCAAGCACACACGCGCGCACGCGCGCGTGCTCTTGCCATGATGTGATGAAGCCAAGAACCAAGTGGTTTACAGGTGCCATGCCCTGAACCTCCAAAACTGAGAGCTGAAGAAACCCCTTCTTCTTCATAAGTAACTTGTGTCAGCTATTTTATTAGAGTGATGACAGGCTGGCTAATATACCAGTGATTATGTTAGATGTCATTATGTTAGAAGAAACTGTGTCAGGAGGACCTTACAGCTTAGTATGAGTAGCCACAGCAATAGCACATAACAGAAAAAAGGTCTCACTAGGCCATGTGCATCTAAGAGATTTATGGATAACCCACTCAATCCCCCTAAGAATCCCTTGAGATAAGCACTAGAATTATCTTGTTCCACAGATGAGAATATTGGGGCCAGAGTGGCTAAGTAATTTGCCTAACTGTCACAGAGCAAGTAAGCTGAGGAGCCATTATTTGACCCTAGGAAATCTGGTTGAGACTGGACAGGCTTAAATCTACCTCCCAGGACTTGTCCATGCAATTTCACTTTCATATTAAACTAATCAATAACTTATCAAGAGCCTGATGCAACTTTATGGCTATAATCCCAGCTACTCAGGATGCTGAGGAAGGAAGGTCTTGAGCTCAAAGCCAACAAGGCTGGTGGTATAGCTCAAGTAGGTGTTTGCCTAGTATATTCAAGGCCTTGTATTCAATCCCCAGATCTACAAACAAAAACAAACTTAGGAGGATACATTCATGCCAGCTTGCAAAAGAGGAGGATGAGTAGAAAAAAGCCACCCAGTACTGGCCTCCAATTCTCCCGCCTTAGAGACCGAGGCTGAGTAACATCCCCAGGGGTCAGGTGAAAGCAGGTGTAACTGCACTCAGGCAGAAAGAAAATGAGAGAACATTTTCTCATATCAACATGGGCTTCGGCTCAAGTCCTCATCCATCAGTGACGGGGACAACTGTACAAAATATTTTAGGTTGCTTCAATGTTGATGAAAACATTTCTCTAAGGATCCTTGACATTTGAAGAAATTCATCGGTTGACATTAAATCACAACCATAATTGCAAATAACCTGGTGGTAGGAATAACAGGGTAATCTTCCTTGCATCTCCCAACCAGCTGCAGTGTAAGGCCTCACATTCAGGATGGGGAGGGGGGGTGGTGCCAGGGTTGTTTCATGTTGCCTGGGCCATGTTCTGAGTTAGAGCAGGGATTCAAACCCACGCAGTGACCCAGAACACAGTGGCTCAGGGCTCAGTTGGCTACTTGTCTCCACACCATACCAAACTCCAGCTCAGCCAACAAGGATATTGCCTTGTGTCCCCCGAGTTGCCACTCTCCCCAGGAATTTTAGCTGAGCTCAGTCATCAGGATAACGGCCCATTTCCCAGCATTCTTTGCATCTAGGTATGACCAGACAACCATGTTCTTCTGCCTTGTGGGATGTGGGGGAATTTACAGGCAGTGCCCTTCAGGAGAAAGGCTATGACCCTCTAACCCTTTAAGCCCTCCTGGCTAACCAGATATGAGGGACCAAGCTGGACCAGGAAGATAGGAATAACACCCTGCTCCCTGGAGGAAGTGGAGAAAGCCTGAGGAGGAGTCAGGCCCTGACACCTCCATCAATGCTCACATCAGACATGTGGTACCACAGAGTTCTATTTCCCCTGTGGTATCTAAAAGCACAGCCCTATGCCCACACCAACTAGAACACAAACACAGGGCTCCATGGGCCCACAGACTAACAGCAGTTGCTGACCTCACAGGTAGCCAAGTGATGGTAATCTGGCTTAGAAAAAATGCCCACACAGTTCTACCTGTTGTTAGATCCTTGACATTGCTCCCTCATTAACCTCAGTGGCCCTCGCTTGACCAGCAACTCCAGATCCACTGGCTGATATCATCCCATAGACACACTAGTCATTAATCCCAACCAAGCCAAGGTGGGGCAGGGGGTTGCTACAGACATCCCCCCCCCTACCTCCACAGTTCCCTCCTCATCCCATCCCACCCCACCAATGGCCATTCTCCACAAAGCACACAAGGGAGGTGGGGGGACATATGCTCTCAGGCTGATATGGACCTTCTAGTCCCCTAAAGCATGCTGACAGCTCTCCACTGGGCTCTATGATTTATAGTGGACTCCAAGGTCCTGTCTGATCTGGCCCTGCCTTCCCACCCATCACCTCCCCATTGCCAAGGCCAGGCCCTGCAGAAAGCCAGGGCTTGGGGCTTACCTCTGTTGCTATAGTCATCCACCAGAATAACCTCTTCCAACAGGATGTCTGGGGATGTCTCAAGAACACTATAGACTGTCCGAAGGAGCGTTGACCAGGCTTCATTATAAAATGCTATGACAACAGATGTCCTGGGCAAATTCTCAAAATCGTATTTCTTCTCTTTGCACCTGCAAATACAACACACCTTCAGAAATGGAAAGCCCAGCCCAGGCTGGTGCTGGGGATGAAGTAATGAAGGAGACAGGGGTCATGTCCCCAGGTATCCCCTCAGGGACTGGGAAATCATCTGCTGAAGGATTTCTCAGAGTCTCCTGTGTGCCAGGGCCCCATCAGATCCTAAGAAAGACTGCAACCAGGACACTCAATAACTTTTGTCTATGAGATGCTGCTTTAAAGCTGTAAAGCAATTTGCAGATGTGAGCAACATGCAAATTAGGCAGAAGAAGAAGACAGGGCAACTGTCACCCACCAACCACCTCACAGCGCCCCGTCACTCCATTCCAATCCCACTGCCAGGCCCCTTGGCTCACACTGTCCCTTCTCCACTGGACATATTCCCTGTCTTCTTCATCAACAGTCAGCCCTGTGCTCCTAGGAGCTGAGAAGCTCAGCACCTGGTCCCTCACCTCGACAGAGGCCACCAGCAGTATTTATCACATAGCACTGTGTCCAGCCCTACCTGCCAGGCAGTGACTGTGCCTCATGACAGGTGGAGCCCTCAAAGCATACATTAGACTTATGAGTGAAAAACAAGAATGTTCTGAGACAGGCTCTGCAGAAGGCACTGACCACCTGCCCAGGACCCAACTTCTTTGTGCTCCATTAAATGGCGGCCCATAGGGGCACGGCCGGCTGACAGTTACAGGAGCCAATGAGCTTCCTTTTTGTAGTTGGCTGGCACTTTGCACTGAAGTTCCCTGGGTGACCCAGCTTCTTATCCTCAGTGGGAGATAATAAACACCCAGTATCATGAGAATAAGGTGCAGTGCCTGGAAATCATCAGCCAGAAGTGATTGGTGATCAAATGGGGGATTCAGGGTTGGTGGAGACTGTCTAAGAGATCAGCTAGCTATTTGAGAAGATAAATGCTGAAGAGCAGCCAAAGCAAGGCCTCACTGTTCACACTGGAGTAACAGCTGAAAGGGACAGGAGAGGAGACACAAAGCTAAACATCAAGAGGAGAGGAACTTACTGTCTACCACATGGGTAGCCTACCAGTAATTTCCTGATCACCTACTATATGCCAGATAAGTAAGGCCCCTGCTCCATGGACCTCATGTCAGGAGGAGAATACAAGTAAGCAAAACAAGGCAGGAAGTGCTTCATGCTCTGAACACGGTACAGAATAGAGCAATGACAGAGGGGAGAAGGAAAGGGGAAGAGGAACACTGCAGCATAGGTAACGTGGGAAGGCCCTTTAGAGGTGACATTTTGGATGAGCCCAGCCTCCAAAACCCCAGAGAGAAACTTTTATGTATGCAACTTACTTCTGATCTCATTTCCCCTTCATTTTACTATGAAAAAATTCAAAGTAGAAAGAGAACCTTCTAGATACCCTTTGCCCTGCACCAGTGGTTGTCAAAACACAGCTAATATGTCACCATATACTCCATATCCCAGGACATTTTTAAAGCAGATCCTGCATATCTTAGACTTTGTAATTAAGCCCACTGTGGCTATGTAAAAGCTAGAGTATGGTCAGGAAAGCTGGCTGTAGACATGATCCTGGCACTCAGACCAAGGGACCTGGAACTCTCCAGCAGATCCTGAGAGGGAGGAGATACGTATCTCTAAGATAAGGATTCTTTTTTATAACAATTATAACTCTTTTTTTTTTTTTTGCCAGTCCTGGGGCTTGGACTCAGGGCCTAGGCACTGTCCCTCAGCTTCTTTAGCTCAAGGCTAGCACTCCACTTGAGTCACAGCACCACTTCTGGCTTTTTTTGGTGGTTAATTGGAGGTAAGAGTTTCACAAACTTTCCTGCCAGGGCAAGCTTCAAACCACAAAGATCCTCAGATCTCAGTCTCTTGACAGGTATGAGCTACCAGTGCCCAGCTTAATTTTTACCTTTAAAACCACTTCCTAAAGGCTGGGCAAGTGAGTCCACAGGAGTAGAACAAGGCAAGTGTGAGACCCTGAGTCATCCTAGTAGTCAAGGAAGAATGAGCAAACCACTTCCTATGTTAGAGCTTACTGCTTCCACTTTACAGACGACACTCAGCAAGGTGGGGTAAATTGGTTGGTTCAGAGCACAGGGATTTGTATGGATCCAGCTGAGATGTCTGGATTCAGGGATCCTGTTACAAAGTTCTAGCTTGTTCTCTGTACCATGGGAAACTCAGGAGACCACTTGAACATAAATGAAGACCCCTGGATCACATCTCCCCATCTAGCTCTCCCTCCCGTGGACAAGTTCTTTCCTCCTGACTCCTCCTCCACTCCTCCCCGGCAGGATCTACTAGGGTACCCCAAGACCCGGGGCCTAAAAGCCAGGGCAGCCTCTGCAGCGGGATCCCAGCTCCCTGGCTATGGCCCAGCTGCACAGTCACACTGGGCTTATTGAGCCACAGGTAGGTCTCCTCAGCCACCCTGCTGCTCCCAGAGCCCCTGCTAGGAAAAGCTATCCCAAGCTGCAAGTATGGAAATGCTAACATCCTAAAGCCATGGGGCACACCGGCCAGCACCTCACCAGGGCCCATGTACCCTCATGCACCACGGCTTTTCATACATGCAAGTAGTCACGTGGCACAGAACAGGGGAGGCCTTATGCACACACAAAGAGAGAAGAATTCAGCTCCAGTACTGGGGATTGAACTCAGGACTTCACACTTCTAGGCAGGCATTCTACCAGTTGAGCCAAAGCTTAGGGTCTCAACTCTATATCTAGCTGGCCTGAGCTGCGATATTCCTACTTGTGCTTCCCTGTGTCACTGGAATGACAGGAACACACCACTTTGCCTAGTTGAGATGGAGTCCTGGAAACTTTTTTTTAGTGGAGGCCAGGCTGGCTTCAAACCATAATCCCCCAATCTCTGCCTCCCAAGTAATGGGAATTACAGGCTTGAGCCACTTTGCCCAGCTTAAACTCCATCTTTCAGAGAGAACATTCTAAAATTCATAAATATATTTAAGAACAGCAGACAAGACAGGTGACTTTGAAGACCAGGTGATAAACTAGGTACCAGTGACTCACACATATAATCCTAGCAACTCAGGAGGCTGACATCTGAGGACAGCAGCTCAAAGCCTGCCTAGGCAATACAGTCCATGAGACTCTTATCTCTGATTAACCACCCAAAGCCCAGAGGTGGAGCTGTGGCCCAAGTGGAAGGGGGTAAGCCTTGAGCCAAAAAAGCTATGGGACAGCTCCCAGGCCCAGAGCTGCTCAAGCCCTAGGACAGACACACACACACACACATACACACACAGCTCCCAGGCCCAGAGCTGCTCAAGCCCTAGGACAGATACACACACACACACACACACACACACACACACACACACACACACACACGAACTAGATCTTCCCTCCTTATTTCCTTTCTTACTCCACTTGCCCGTTGCCATCTTGTAAGGATACTCAAGTAGCCCTGCAGAAGAGTCTATTGACAAGGAATTCAACCTTCCTGGGGCCCACCAGCACATTCTGTATGTAGCCTAGAGAGTTGCCATCTTGGAAGCAGTTTCTAGCCCCAGTCATATTAAAGACCCAAGCACCATTTTGTCTGACACTCCTAAGAAACACTGAGCCAGACCGACTCAGCTCAAGTATCCCAAATCCCTGACCCACAGAAGTATTGTGAAATAATAAGTGTTTATTGTCATTTAAGCCATGAAGTTGGGTGGTAACACATAACACTGAAATAATCCCCAAGGAAACTATCAGATCTACCCAAACTAGGAAATGGTTTATTAAACCAAACTCATTTCAAAAGTATCAATGCCATGAAGACCATGGTTGTAACTGTAAGGTTTTAGGAGAGAAAAGGACCATGCAGAGAGGAATAAAAAGATTTGACAGAAAAGTATACTGGAGTACACTCCCCGGTGAACTCCCTGGTCAGGATCAGAGAGTTCACCCTGGGTGTAGTTGCAGCAGAGCTTTTATAGGCGGGGTAAAAGCAGAACTGGTAGTGGGCAGGGACTTGTGGCTCATAGCTTGTTTTGCCAATTTGAGCAATCTTAGGCCAGTGCACTTGAAGAATGATTGACTCACTGACGTGGTTTTTCTCAGTGGCAGCCCGTTTTCCCGGTTGCCTAACTTCCTCCAGCGCCCTGACAGTAACATCAACATTATACGCATTCTCACTGGGAGCAAACACTGCTGTAGAAGTTGGAACCTCTGGGGAAATTCAATACTGTATAACTTTCCTGGCTTTGATATCATAATGTCTATATCATAGCATCACCAGAAGGCATCCTTATTCCTGGAAAATACATACTGGGGAAATGACTCCCAATAAAAGACTGTCAGCTCTGCAACTTACTCTCAAAGGTATGTAATGTTTTCGACGCACAAAGAAAAAGAAAACTTCAGTAATTAGGACAAAACAATAATGAATGGATGGATCTAGGAAGGGATTTATAGAGTTCATTGTGCAATTCCTACAACTTTACTGCAGCTTTGAATTACTCAAAAATTCAAGGTTAAAAAAAAAGAGGGGGGAAGAGTCTTGATGCTACAAAGGATATACCTAAATAGAAGTCAACTCAGATCTACAGACAGGTTCAGTCCCAGTGTCCCAGACAGAAACCAGCCCCCTGGGTAGAGGAACCAAGAGGATAGTGAGGTGGGGGAGAAGAGGAAATTTAGTCACATGCAATGCATAGCCTATGAAGTTAAGAAAACTGAGGCTGGGCACTGGCGGCTTGCACTTGCAATACTAGCTACTCAGGAGGCTGAGATCTGAGGATCGTGATTTGAAGCTAGCCCAGGCAAAAAAAAGTCCATGAGACTTCTTGTTTCCAAGAAACCAGAAGTAGAACTGTGGCTCAAAGTGGTAGAATGCTAGCCTTGAGCAGAAAAGCTCAGGGATATCACCTAGGCCCTGCCCCATAACCAACAAAAAATTGAGGGGAAGGGTAGTTTGGGGGGAAAGGATAGTTTGGGGGGCAGGGTAGTTTGGGAGGGATGGAACAGAATGATAAAAGAGGGGTGACATTCAT